GATTTGAGAATCTAATATACGACTTACATTAGAACTCCCTTCAAGTATCAATTTTCCATTTCTTGCATCAACGTTATATTATAATGCAATATACACACACACATTCTGATACCAGTAACATTGCAGAGATCTCCTCCATCTAAATTTCATTCAGATTTCTTAACCCGAAATCCGAACCATTGGCTCGTTGAAACTAATTTCGTATAATGCGTTTCCCATCAAATTCAATGGTATATATATTTAGTAAGTACATTTTAATTTATTTATTTTGTACTCATAAGCAAAAGCAAAAAAAAAAAAAAAAAAAAAAAAAAAAACCTTTGCGCGACGTAGATCCTGCGTCGCGCAAAGATACTTTGCGCGACGTAATGCCTACCTACGTCGCGTAAACCCTTCCTTCACTGCCTTCGCGCGACGGTTCTTGCACGACGAAGGTTCGTTTGGCTAATTTTTGGGCGACGTATTTTTGACTTTGCGCGACGACGGTCCTACGTCGCGCAAAGTATTTTTTGTACTAGTGGTTATATATATATAAGTCTTCTTCTGTTAAGGATCTATTGTAAGGCCCACTTTAGATTGTATTCCAACGATCTAACTATTTATCTTTTAGGTTTTCTCTTAAAAAATCTGTTTATAAAAAAGCACTTAAATATAAAATTATTTGACAGTCAATGGTAGTCGTATTAGCTCAAACTAGCATAAGTTGTTATTCATAATTTGTTTTCATAGATGGCCACCTGGGTTCATAACATTATAAAAGAATAAAAGCGTAGTCAAATTATACGTGGCCTTTGGCAGTACCATAAACAAAAGAGTATCTATATAAAAAAGGGACATCAATGTGGCATCAGCATCTCAAACTAATTATTACACTAATTACCATGTGTTTTATCTTTGTCACATGACACCAAAAGATAAGATGAGCAAATCGCCAAATTAGTGTTTCTGCTTCATGTGCAAGTCCTTTTTTGTATTGGTAAAATTCCTTCTTTTTTTAAAAAAAAAAAATTACTCTATTAATGCCACATTGGGTCGCCCTTAACTTTTAAAATTTTAAAAGCCTTGGTTTAGTAGTTTATACTTTCGAACTTATGGCTTAACTGAAGTTATTGAGTTTTATATTAGATTAAGGAATGACTTTTTAGCCAAAATGGTCCATATGAGATTTGCATGACACATAACTTTGGTTCATGAGATTGAAAATCAATAGAAATGGTCCATGAGATTGTCCACCATCAATTATTTTGGTCATTCGATTAAAAAACTCACTTAAGTGGTCTCGGAGCTCACACCAGAAGTTTGGGCAATTTTCAAAACTTCGTAACTCAATCATTTCTTAACCAAATTCAACCTATAATATATCAAAATGAAGATAGGAAAGTGTAGAATAAGATTATACATATTTGGAAGCCCAATGGTTGCCAGAGATGGCTGGAAAATAGCTTGAAAGGTGACTAGTCCGCGGGAAAACTGGGAAACTCGTCGGAAACTGGGTAAACTTTAAACGTTTATAACTTCTTCAATAATCAACGAAATCGAGTGATTAAAAAACGAAAATCATACTTCTCAACGAGATAAAGAGAATGGTACCTTTTTTGATGGCCAACTCACCATTGTTTTGGCCGGAAAACAGCTCGAAAATGGAAACCTCGATGAGACCAAGACAGCCACTTTCAAGCCATTTTCCAGCCAAACCACAGTGATTTAGCTATTAAGAAATGACCAGAATAATGGATGGTGGACAATCTCAGGGAGTTTTTCTATTGATTTCAGGGACCACTTAACGGAGTTTTTTAACGGAATGACCAAAATAATGGATGGTGGACAATCTTAGGGACCATTTCTATTGATTTCAATCTTAGGGACCAAAGTTATGTGTTATGAAAATCTCAGGAACTATTTTAACTAAAAAAAGCCTTAAGGAGTTGAATTAGTAAATTGCTGCCGAACTCAAAAATTAAAAATTAAAAATTAAAAAAAAGGTAAATTGCCGCCAAGTGATGTGGTTTGATACGTTTGTTCCCATGCATATATGAAAATATAAAAAATGTCATTATCATTATCCCCATCGCTAGCTAGCTTACTTATAGCTACACTAGTTGAGAGTTTGTACTGATAAAATACATATAAATGATTGTATATGGAGTTGACTTATTGAAATACTTAGCCTTCTTTATTATTGATTAAGAAAATTAATTAGCTAATAATTTTACAACAAAAGAAAATTTTATTGGCTAATGTCTGAAAATCAACGACAAATCGACTGAATGTTTACTTAAGATGTTATTTATTGGAAGTTATATAAAGAATTGTCAAAGTCGCATGGCGCTAAATAGCATGGGTTTAGTCATGGTTAACTAAGCAGCTGTTTGTTAATTTCATCCTCTCTGCATCCAAGTTTGATAAATTCAGTGTAATCATCCTATCATTTGTCTCAAAAAATAAAAAATAAAAAATAACTGTACGTGTTAAGATATGCTTAGAACTGTAAACCATTGTGTATCAGATGCGAGAGAAAGAGAGAGAGAGAGAGAGAGAGAGAGAGATAGCTAGAAGAGAGAAATGATAGAGAGAGAGAGAGAAATTTAGCTAAGAAGATTGTATTTTTTATTAAGCTAATATGACAGTACAAGTATGCTTTTATACAACTGCAATATATTCATTTCTTACACAACAAGTCATTGTAACTATCTCTAACAACATTCCCTAACTAACTCAGCTGATCTTTGACAAGTGGCACACTCTATAGTCATTGGATTACTATCCTCAACGTCTCCCCTCGAGCTCAGTGGTGGGAAGTCCAAGACTGAGATTGTGACAGTGAGTTTGATAGATAGGTGCAGACAATCCTTTTGTCAATATATCTTCATATTGTTCTGTAAAAGGAACAAATTGAACTTGTAACAACTTTTTAGCCACTCTTTCTCTAACAAAGTGAATGTCAACCTCGATATGCTTTGTTCTCTGGTGTAATACATGATTACAAGTCAATGAAATGGTTGCCATGTTATCATAATAGAGAACAAGTTGATAGGGAATCGAAACTTGCAGTAATGACAACAACTGTTTGATCCAATCCAATTTAGCAGTGGTTGATGACAAGGCTGGATACTCAGCCTCTGTTGAAGATCTTGAAATTGTTTGCTGCTTTTTAAAGGACCATGATATTGGATTGGAACCTAAAAACACCACAAATCCTGTTGTTGACCTTCTATCATTGGGATCACCAGCCCAATCTGCATCAAAAAAGGCTCTCACATCTAATTCACCTTTAATATACTTGACTCCCAAGTTAATTGTGCCTTTCAAATATCGAAGTATCATTTTACTACAATGAAATGTGATTCCATTGGAGTTTGCATGAATTGATATACTTGATGCACTGCAAATGCAATATCAGGTTTAGTAAATGTTAGGTATTGCAATGCCCTAACTACGCTTCTATATAATCCTGGATTATAATAGGGTTTCCCATCATCAAGAACCAATCTGTTATAAGGTAAGCATGGTGTAGCACATGATTTTGAATCTTCCATTTCTGTCTTGGCAAGAAGATCCCTTACATACTTTGCTTGAGACAGAAATAAACCATCAAATTGAGATATAACCTATATTCCCATAAAATAATGAAGCTACCCCAAGTCTTTAAGTTCAAACTCTTGTGTCAAAGCACCAATTAGTTCATTAATCACTGAAGATGCATTACCAGTGATGATAATATCATCAACATAGAGAAGTACGATGACTATTGAACTACCAGTTTGTTTGACAAATAATGAAGAGTCTACATAAGTTGAGATGAAGCCAAGAGATGGGAGAAAGCTTTTAACTTTCTCATTCCAAGCCCTTGGGGCTTGCTTTAAACCATATAATGATTTGTGTAACTTGCACACATAATCTGAGTGATGAGAATCAACAAAACCAAGAGGCTGTGACATGTAGACTTCTTCTTGCAATATGCCATGCAAGAAAGCATTCTTTACATCTAGCTGCCTTAGTGACCATCCATATAGTGAGCTGCCATTGCTAATACAAGTCTAACAGTTGTTGGTTTAACAACTGGACTAAAAGTTTCTCCATCAATCCCTTCCTCTTGACTAAACCATTTTGCAACAAGCCTAACCTTGTATCTCCCAACTGAGCCATATGCATCACCTCTTGATTACTCTTTTTTATTAAAAATTATTACATTTTTATAATAGGGTCCACGATGAATTTTATGTTATGACACAAGCTAGCGGTGTTATAGTTGCTCACAAACAACCATCGAACTCGGATCAACATCAAATGGATCCTTGAGTTTAACCAACTCTCTCAAATGGGTGTTTATTACTGTTCACATTTTTCGTTAACTATCGCCGATTATTACTATATTCTGGGCCTGGTGTGTATCAAATGGTATCTCTTTCGTGTGATGGAGTACTAACATTTGGCGTAAAGCTGTGCAAAACGCTTATATTAAGCAAAACATATCTGAATTAACTAACACATCTTAATCATGCCAGGTTTTATGAGCATGACATTCAACGTCAAACTCAGCTTAAAATTGTCAAAGGTTGGAAATTCTACCTCATATCCAATATAATATAGGGTTTGAAGTAATTGTATATGGCTTAATTGTTGAAAAAGTTTACAATTTAGTTTAGGATTTTTTTAGAGAAAATTGTTTCTGAGATTGGCATAACTTTGGTCCCTGACAATGAAAATTGATAGAAGCGGTCCCTGAGTTTATCCACCGTAAATCAATTTAGTCATTCCATGACAACTCTGTCAATATTCTAGTTAAATTGTCATGCAACCACCTTTTAAAGGATATTTTTGTGAAATTAACTCTTTCACTGAACGAGATTTTTTTGTAATCTACATGTTTAGTTGCTCTTCTTCTTCCTTAATTAGTCTATAGCTGTACTTTATCTCCCAACATTAATAAATAATGCTCAAGTCTTTCGCAGTTGATTGCAAGACAAGTCAAAGGTAAAATGAGTAGAATGCCAAAAATAAATAAAAATATATATATCCATCGATTATACAAGTTGAATGTGTAAAACTTGCTTTTTCAAGCAAGAAAACAAGATGGAATTGTTACACAATTTAATCAAACCTACAGTATATATATATGTAGAGAGACAAATCCAATTCTTAAATTGGGTTTTGTCCTCCAAAATAATAAAAAATGGTTAGAACCACTGAAAAAAAGGAAGATAAAAGAGAGGAAAATATAATTTTAGCTAGCCCTCTCTTTCTTTTCCATGAAATTATGTATTCTTGTCAATGCAATCCCAAGTGTCTGCTCACTCATGTTGGCAAAGCACACCCTGAACCAACCTGGCTCAGAGCAATGACAAGAAGAACCTGGAGATATATTTAGCTTCACTTCATGCAGCATGGAATCCCAAAGAGTCAGTTCACCTTCTCTTGTAGGTTCATCCAAAAATGGACTTAAATTCATCCAGCAAAACAACCCAGCATTTCCTTTCAAACACTCGATCCCCGATTTCTTCAAACCCTCGACGATCATATCATATCTCTTCCTCAGTCTCTCTCTGTTTGTATTTATGTAATTTTCAGTGAATTCCTTGTCAGATAACATGGAAGCCAAGAGATGTTGTGTTTGAGAAGATATTAGGGTGAAGCTTGACATCCTTCTTGCTGTTGTCACAACCTTATCATTGTAAGAGTACACGGTGCCAACTCGAAAACCTGGAAGGCCAAGATCTTTGGATAGACTATAAACAATGTGGACTCTTTCTGCATCCTTGTACTGCCTGTCTTCAAGAATTTCTGCCACACTAATGAATTCGGAGGATGAGAAGGCGGATCCTGAGTAGATTTCATCAGAAACGAGATGGATGTTTTTTTTTGTGACGAAATCAAGAATCTGTTCAAGGACTGCCCTTTGGATTGTTGCACCAAGTGGGTTTGATGGATTTGTGATTAGTACCCCTCTCACTCTCATGTTCTTGTCTTCTGCCTCTTTGTGTGCAGCTTCTAACGCTTCTGGAGTAATCTGGAACTTGTTTGAGCTTTCACAGTGGATTGGCACAATGTTCACACCAGTCCTCCACCTCAAATCTCTATCAAATCTGAAGAAGAAAATTTAAGTTGACATTAGTTTTTGATGATCAATATGAAAAACAAAAGTCACAAAAAATTTGCATGAAATAATATAACTTCCAGATGATAACATTCTCTTGTCAGATGGCATGTTATGTCCGGACTCATTCTGACGTCATGCGGTTAAAATGAGAACACTTAAGAAATTCCGCGTAAACATTTGAAAAAGAAAAACATCCCAAACCGTCTGACAAGAGAATATTTCTGTAACTTCTAAAGTCAAGTTTGAGTGATGGAGGAGTATTCTTACCCTGGATAGTATGGTGTTGGAACAAGCAAAGCATCACCAGGATCAGCTATGATGAAAGTCAACAGCTCATTGGCTGCAGTTGCACCTGCTGTTAAGACTACTCTAGCAGGGTCAATTTTCGCTCTTCCTCCTCTAATTTGCTCCATAAAACTTGCCATTGCCTTTCTAAAAGACAAAAGCCCATGGTAGTCTTGAAACAAGGCATTTTCTCTAAAGCCAGACACTCCTTTTGATCCCTTTGAACCCCAGTTGGAGGCTTCTGAATTTTCTTCCAAGTACTTTTCCAACAGATCAAACGAAACCTGTCCAATAAAAAAAGTTAATATTACATGAAAATTCTAGAAGTATTCAGATTTTTTCCTTATGGGTTTTGTTGACCAAATGATCATTTGTGATCATGAGAAGCACTTACTTGGTTTTCAGCTAGTCCCATCTGTATGACTCCAGATGGATTGCTTGATTCATGATAAGGGTTTTGATCATAAGCTTTCCATCCTGCAAAGTATGGAGAGTCTTCTCCATGAGTATCAGAAACAGCTATTTTTGATAGCCCAACAGAAGGCTGCTGCTGCTTAATCTCTATAGCCATATCTAGCTTTCTTATAAAAGCACTTTGGCCTTCAAGAAAGCTGTAGTTATGACTCAGAGAGAGAGAGAGAGAGAGAGAGGAGAGTTGAATGAGAATGGTTTGAATGAAAAACCTTTGAATTCACCCACTTATATATAGGAACTGTTTGGAGAGCAATGGCATAAAAAATAATGAACAAAAAAGTTCCTCTCAACTTGCCTGTTTTATTGAGAAATAAGCAGAAAGAAGAAGAATCAATCATTGATTCTGTGACATAAGCAAGAGTATATCAAAGCTGGCATTTTACATACATCAAAGTAGTTTTTATCTCATCACCTACATGTACCCAACAACCGTCAATAATTTTATGCTATGCTCTCAAAGCATTCTTATATCTTAATTTTCCTAAGATCAGATTAAGAATAGGTACAGAATATATGGTTAGGTTTCTCTCTCTCTCTCTCTCTCTCTCTCTCTCTCTCTCTCTCTCTACAAATCCTAATGTACACTTCCCAACCTATGACAAATCAAATCCTTGCTGAGCAAACCCTAAATCCCAAATGATGCTTGAAATTAAAATGCTTGTAAAAATTAGGTACTTTAGCCAAAATAGTCTATAAGATTGGCATAACTCTCACTTTGGTCCATGAGATTTGAAATCGATAGAAGTGGTCAATGTGTTTGTCCACCGTCAATCATTTTGGTCCTTTCATGAAAAAAATCTCTGTTAAAAAGGACCAAAATGATTAGACAAAAAATTAAGAGTATTTTTGTCATTTTTTCCTTATTTAAAAGATATTTTTTTTTCACGGAATGATTAAAATGATTGAGGGTTACAAAATTAGGGACCAATTCTATCAATTTTAAATCTCAAGAACCAAAGTATGCCAACTCATAAGCCATTTTGGCTGAAAAGCCTAAAAATTATTATTTGAAGAGATCTAAGAGTGGTTAAGTTTGATTGCCGGACAAAGATACCAATTTTCACAAGATTAAGATTCTGATTTGTGTGCAAATTAGCTAGGACTGCATATAATTGAAAGCTCCATGAAGATCTCTGCAGACCCCACACATCACACACTCATATGTATTAATTCCTAGCAACAAAATATATAACTAGGGTTTTGAGGTTTAAATCAATAATAATCTCATGATCTAATTTAATTCTCTAAAGAAGTATGTGTTATTTTTTATAGGACAATGTATTTGCCTGCATGTCTTTATGCGTGTATTTGTGCCGACAAAATGGTTTTAGTGGCAAAACAATAAGGGGAAATATATGGTTTTTGGGGCTCAATATGGTGAAAATCCATGTGCAAGAGGTCAGCATCTAGCTTTGCAATTAATAGATGGAATCCTAATGCATACAGCAGAGAGAGAACGTGAATGGAATGAGTGATGAGATGACGACTACTCGATCGATCGGCCACTTCAGCCTGTAAGGGAGAGACAAGTATCAACCAAAAAGTCTACAGCAGTTATGGAGCTTCAATTATATGTGCATATGGCAATTAGATTAATTGAGATCATGGGTAATTACACTTCTTTCAGTGGAAGGTGCTTTTCATCTTGGATATGTTAACTTAATAGAAATGGCAGTATGACTTAAAATATAGGGAAATTAAAGAAAGGTATCAAATCAACTAGTCCTTCTATTGATTATGGATTTTAAGAGAAAATGTACACTCTTCTGATTTCATGTATTAGAAAACATAGGAAATAGTTAACATATTTTAATAAATGCCTGGAACTCAGAAATTTATAAGAACTATAATTCCTATTCTTTGTAAGTAAATCCAAAGATAAATGCTAAGATGACTCTCTATGAACTCTTTGTCACCTCATGTTCTTGACACAATGTTTTATAATGTTGGCACGAGTATTGATGTTAAATCGTGAGGTTATAGAGAGTTCATGGAAAGTCCCACTTTTGAGAGAGTCCCCTTAGCATTTCTCAAGTCCAAATCAGCTATTAATTTAGCAAACAGGTAAAATTATTGGTTGTACAACAGAAAAAATTAGAAAATGAACCTTCAAGGACCACAAGAAGTATTACATTCCAAGTAAAATATTGTTATAGGTTATGTGAAAACTTTCAAGAGCATGATTCATGCTCAATATGTAAGTGAGAAAAGGGATGGTGCCAATTATTGATTAACAAAATTATTGACATGTTAAGAAGAAAATTATTGGAAGCAAAGAGCTAGAACACTTCAAGTCTTCATGTGCGCTTTATGTATGGAAGTGAAAGTTGTATTCTTATTTGCATCAAGTTATCAACTATAAAGTTAATGGATTAGGAACTAATTAAGAAGCTGTTAGAAGCTCATTGCTGAGAAAGTTTTCACATTTTTAAGTGCATTCCAACTGTGGAAAATGTCATGAAATGGAGAATGGAAGCACACAAGAAATTAGGACGCGTATGAAAAGGACAGACCAATTGGCTTTACAAGGAACTTCTCCACAGTCTGTACGGTCCCAGATGGCCATTTTGCAGCATCACTGTAGTCCTAACCCTAGGTCGTACCCAGTGCACAAGGCTCCCGCTTTACGCAGGGTCTGGGAGAGGTGAATGTCGGCTAACCTTACCCCCATTTATGGAGAGGCTGCTCTCAAGTCTCAAACCCGAGACCTACCGCTCATGTGCGAAGACACTTGCCATCGCACCAAGTGCGACCTCTACTGTAGTCCTAACCCTAATTTAATTAATTAATTGCTTTATTAAACAAGGAAAAAGGCTGTGGGGGATATCAATTGGCTTTACATGGAACAACTCAACGGTCTGTACTGTCGCGGATGGCCTTTTTGCAGCATCACTGTAGCCCTAACCCTAATTTAATCAATTAATTAATTAAACAAGAAAAAAAAGCTTTGGGGGTTTTATAATTACTTGGACGATTGATGAGATATTCTTAATCGTTTTAGTAGCTACTGTGTCAACATCTTCTGAATACAGGGCCAATGTTTGTCTTTTAATGTTGCTCACAAGGACTACATGCAACCGAGTCACTGAAAGCCAGTGCATCTCTACATTATATTATATGCATCTGTTTATGTAATTAGTGGTAGGATTAATTTGGAGTCTTCCAAATGGATCCGGATTCTCTCTCATTTCCCTTCTCCTCCTGTCTCCTCCTATTTGAATGCTCACAACTAAGTCACGTAAATATTTTGTGTTAATTTCTTTATAAAGAGAGAAATATGAAGAGGAAAGTAAGAAAGGAGGGAAGAGGAGGGAAAAAGATTTGCAGGAGAGATATCCTGCTCATTTCCAAATTGTAAAAAAGAAAAGAAAAAAAAAAGGGAGTTGGAATGTTTAATTGTAAACCAATTATCAGAACGAGAATCCTTTCTGAATCCTCAAATCGTGTATGTTCATTGTATATCATGCGGTCATTATTTGTCATATGCTATTCATATTTAATTTTAAATAAAAGTATTTAAAATAATTTCTGACCGCACATTGTGCAATGAACGGATACAATTTGAGGATCCGGAGAGGATCCTCATTCCAATTATCAGACCCCAAAAATCTTGATGGAAGATATAATACCAATGACAGTGCGCCACTTGGGATTGTTTATTATAGTAATGCCATGATCATGTCAAAGAAGATAACCATAGATTATTATTGGGTAGGTGAATGTCACATATAAATCAATAATTAATTACTGACTCTACCTCTATTGCTGAAATAGATAACGACTACATTGTTTGTAGGAAGATTTTAACAGCATAAATCAATGTTTAAGTTTTGATAATTGATGTTTTTCGCTATCGGTCAATTACTAGTCGAGTAGTACTTCTCTTTTCTGTGTTAGCACGTAAGTCACAAGTTCGAAAACCCTTCTGTGTTTGTACCAACACGTTTTGGGACCTTTCAGAGACACAATCCCGACTCGTGAATGCCACTGTGGTTTATTAGTGTCTACTCATGAACATGTCCATAAGCCATATATGGTTATTTTAACTTAGAAATTTCCTGCATACATAAATACATGTTGTGCTTCTGCATATATATAAATTGTCAACTTTGTATTTAGTACGTACACAATATATGCCTTTTTGTATATATAAGCTGCCATAATCCCATTTTCTTAATGTTGTTTGCTTTGGTTGTACAACATGAAATGCGATGCACCATCGTCCACATAGACTTTGACTACTATAATAATGCCAATAATATTCAAAGTTTTTTATTTGATTTGTTTAAATCTGAAAAAGGTTAGAAAGAGGTGAAGCTATACCATTCCAGGGCCAGAGCATACCATAAATCTTTTTGAGAACTTATAGAGATGGTTTTAGCTCTTTTTTGTTTGTTTTTACATATCACACTTCAAGAGAGATTGCCGACAACGAGATTCGAACCTAGATCTTGGTCTAGCGAAAAAAACGATCATTACCAATTACTCAACCAACCCTTGTTAACTTTTTTATTTTCACCTCAACTTGCAATATTTTTTGTTAACTTTTATATGTTTATGGTTGAATATATATTCTAGAGAGAGGATCCTCGCCGAATCCTCTTTGCAAGAATCCTCATCGAATCCTCTTTGTAAGAATCCCGATGATCTTCCAATCACATCCGTTCATTGTACATCGTGCAGTCAATTTTTGTCATTAGGTACTGTTTATATTCAATTTTAAATAAAAAAAATTTATAATTATTTTTTACAGTATAATGTACGATGAACGGATGTGATTTAAGAATCCCTAAAATCCTCACAAAGAGGATCCGACGAAGATCCTCATTCTATATTCTAAACAATGTCTCTAGATATGTGCCAAGAATCACCTTTTTGTGGAGAATTTTCTGCGTCCCAACCATGTGCTTTCCTCCCAACTCTCTCTAAAAAAATGCATGTGTATGGCTGTATTGTACGTATGAGTTTCTCAATATTATTGGTGGAATACTAACTCCGCGCGTATATAAATAAGTTTATAGCTGCATTGTTTAAGTTTCTTATATTCCTAAATTGTGATCCAAGAACCTCCATGCACAGAGGCTTAATTAGAGATAAGATTGCTTTATCAGGATTGTAAATTATAAGACGCACCAACCCTGATTTATTTTTGTTTTGTTTTAAAGTCTTAATTCGATAATACTAAACATGCATATGAACAGTTGATCATATGCATGAATATTGAATGATCCGTCTAGTCACACTTTCTATATACTTCATTCGAAGAGCTTATGATTCAATTTTATAGGCGAAAGATATTTAAACAAATACTTGACTTGTAGCATGTTTGAGAATGTTCTCGGAGGTAGAGCCACTAAGGGACTAGAATGGTCTCGGGCCCATTTTGGCTTTTTTCTTGCTATCGTAACATATTGTTACTGCGACTGCTTATCAGTCGAATATCATTAAAATTCAAGTGTTCCCCTTCTCAATCCAAACTCTTTTTTCCTTTACAGACCTCCTTTTTTCACTCCCTCTTATTTCATTGTAGACTTCCCTTCTTCCCTTTTTGCTATCAACTTTTCTTTGTATTTTCTTGTCCTTTCGTTATATTCTTTTTTTTTTTTCTTAACTCTTTACCTCATATCCAAGTGTTTGAGTTTGTACAATATTTTTAGTTCTCCATATTGAATTTGATGGGTCTTTCAATGTTTGTGCACCTCCGATTTTTCATGTTCTCAGGCTTCTCCTCACATGAAATTCTGATTCCACCACTGAATGTTCTTGCGAAGAATAAACCATTTGCTACAAACACAACAAAATGTATTCGAAAAAACCAAGTGGTTTATGAAAATCCATTCAGAACCTCTTGCCGAATCGCAAAGAGCACTAAATATATATGTGCTTTTTTCAGAATCGAGAAACACTTTTAACTTTTTTAGTCATACGTTGCAAAAATCATTTATAATTGTCTCAAAGTCATTTTAATTTTCCCAAAAGGAATTTCTTAAAATAACAGTCCAGCAACATAATATGTCGGATTCACAGATAGCACATATTTACATGTAGCCATACTCCACCTCCCTGCCAACCAGGCAGCTACGCAGGATCAGCTAATTGATTGGCAATCATCTATCTCATGTATACATACATGCATATATACAGGGCTTTAAATTGGAATCATGAAATTGTACAATTATATTCTAATTCTAGCTAGCAAGGCCTCGTAAATTGCATTCTATTGGTTTTACTGAGCATGTTATGGGCCCAAGACTAGGTCCAAAGTGGTGGTACAAAACTTTTGGGCTTCAATCCATTTCACATCTCTATAAGTACGTATGTGGGTCCATTTCTGGCCCGGAAAGAAAAATCCATTTCCATGGCTTCGAAGTCGTCTCTCACTCCTCCACCTGTCCCACCGGAGCTCCACGTCAGCAACCGTGAAACGCTTCTGAATTCACTTCACCGACACCTCTCTGTATCTTCCCGCCCCCCTCCACGGCTTCGTCTTCCTCCAAGTAACCCACTTTCTCGTCGTTATTCAATATATATTTTCATAAAATAAAAAATTTGAGTAACTTTGGTTTTGATCAATTTGTTGTTTTCAGGGAGGCGAAGAGCAGAATCGCTATGACACTGACCACACCGAGCTCTTCAGGTACCCAGTTGAAATAATTAATATTGTTGATTATACTCCTAATTATCATTAATTTTCAGCTTAGTTTTCGGTTTTTGCATTGCATGTTTAATTGTTGTTTGATTCTGTGGAATCCCAGTATGTAAAAATGGACATTGTGATTATCCAATGTGATTAGATTTTGATATTAGAGATTAAAATTTTCCATTTAATATAACTTGGTTAACTCCGCCTATGTAAGTTTATCTTACATTGTCAGTCCCAAGCCCGGATAAAGGAGGAGGGGAGTGAGTCAGGTAGTGGACAGCCGGCGCCTAGGTTACGTCGAATCCTTATGATTTAATCTAACTTGGTTAAGAAAGATCAATGCTTTTTTCATTAATGGATGATTTTTGTTGACAAGAGAGTTACTTTGCTTACTTGTTTGGAGTAAGAGAACCTGGTTTCTATGGAGCTATAGTCAGTACATAGAGTTGCGGCATTCGGGTTGTTCTTGAATGGGAAATTATTTTTGTTTGGTGTTTCGGGTTACACGTAAATGTTGTGTCGAACTGATTTTTTTGGACCATTTTTTTAAGGACATTGCAACTGGGAAATCTATTCTCTTTGCTCCAAGGTTGCCTGCTGACTATGCTGTTTGGTTGGGAGAGATTAAGGCTGTATCTTACTTCTAGGTGAATGTCGGTTTAATACATTTCTTTGTCAACATAAGATGCAGTCGTTACTTGTTAGATCACATTTGTGCTATACATTTGCAGGAAAGGTATATGGTTAGCACGGTATACTATACCAATGAGATCACAACAGTATTACATGATGAATCAAGGGATCTGGTAAACCTTTATTGTTTCTCTTGCATGGCCTCGGCACTGATAGTGATCAATTCTCAAAACCCGCAGAGTTTCAGGTAAATGTCCTCTTTTTTTTTTTTTTTTTTTCCCCTCAAATCATACTTTCAGAATAAAACTTGTTGCACAAGGTCTTGGTTCAGATGGTGTTGAAAGCTGAGGTTGGAGAGTGTTAGGTGTTTGGTTGAATAGTTAAATAAATTAATAATAACTATATTGGTAATGACTTGTTGCATTCTCCTTCTTTAACACAATTTTCTGTAATGCTTTACTTATAGCATTACTACAGTAGAAATATGTATATATCGTTCCCTCAGTAGTTTGGGTGGTTTTAAGGACTTGGCAACAAGCTTTGTTTGTTTTAAACGAAATACAAAACCTTCATCTTCTTTCAGTAGAATGTTAAAACTTAATATATATTCTTAATCTTTGTATAGGGGATTGATAAGTTTGACACAGATTTGACTACCTTGCATCC